CACTGCCAAAATTTCCGCCCCATATCATTACTAAACTCAGACACCAAACTGTACGCAAACATTTTAGCTAACCGACTCAAAAACATCCTCCCTGACCTTATCTCAAATGACCAAGTGGGCTTTGTTCACGGAAGGCAAGGCTCAGACAATACACGAAAGGTAATAGATATAATACAGTCGATACACATGGACCGGACCCAAGGTCTCAATCTCCCTAGACGCAGAAAAAGCATTCGACAGACTGAATTGGCAATTCCTAGAGGCTACTCTGAAAAAATTTGACTTTCCCCCCACTTATCTGACAGCAATCAAAGCCCTATACAGCTCTCCGAACGCCGCGGTAACATCCTCAGGTTCCCGATCAGATCCATTCAACATCACAAATGGGACTAGACAGGGTTGTCCCCTGTCACCACTTCTTTACGTGTTAGCCCTGGAACCCCTCGCGGAAGCCATTAGACGTAATACACGGCATAAATATAGGAGAAAGAGAGTACAAACTCAACCTATTCGCAGACGATGTCCTTTTAACGCTATCCCAACCATTGATCTCCCTCCCAAATCTCCAAAAGGAACTTCAATCCTATAGCGCACACTCATACTACAAGCTAAACACCACTAAAACCCAAGCAATGGGAATAGGCATAGAAGACAACATAATGACCAGACTCAAAACGGCATTTCATTATGACTGGAGAGAAGACCACCTCATCTTTTTGGGAATCAAAATCACAAAAACATATAACTCACTTTTCACAATGAATTACCAAAAACTCTACACAGAAATTGTAAATACATTAAAGTCCTGGGAAGGCAAATACCTATCTTAGGTGGGTAGATGCGCGGCTATCAAAATGATGATCCTGCCAAAAATTCTTTATCTATTCCGAACATTACAAATACCTGTCCCCGCCAAATATTTCAAAAACCTCCAGACGACCCTTTTGAGATTTGGATGGCAAAACAAAAAACCCAGGGTAGCATGGCGACTCCTGTCACGGTCAATAAGGGAGGGAGGACTTGGATTCCCGGACGTAAGAGAATATCACAGAGCCACGCAACTGGCAAATGTGCTACGGTGCCACTCCATAGAACAACCCCCACAATGGCTGGAACTAGAATCCAGCAGATTAGAAGGGAGGCAAGTAACACACCTCATATGGGCCCCAAGGGAAATACGACCCCGCACCCCCCAGATATTGCCGACAACCAAACTCATGCTATCTATTTGGGACAAAAACAAGCACAGGGTCTGCTCGAGACATAAGTGGTCCCCCGCAACCCCCTTAAAAACGCTGCACACCCTAGACCCCTCGTTCAACTATAAAATTTGGGCTGAACACGACCTAACCCACCTTCACCAACTGACTCAAGGCGGCTCCCTGAGGAGCTTCAAAGAATTACAAACACACCATAATATACCAAACAGGGCCCTATTCTCATATATACAACTTCACCACACGCTACGGACTGTACATACACCCACTCAACCAGTGACTGGTGAACCAAAACTAACTCACTTTGAAACTAAATGCCTCGAAAGGAAAAAGCAAGACAAAACTATATCACTATGCTATAACATACTCAATGGGAGCCCTCAAACGCACCTCTGGGGATTTCAAAAAGAATGGCATACAGATATTGGGAGGGAACTAACAACCCAGGAATGGGGTAGAACCTTCGTAGCACACAAAAGTGCGACAAGATGCGCCTCTCACCTAGAAATAGCCAGAAAACTACTCTATAGGTGGCACCTCACCCCTAGCAAATTAAATAAAATGTACAACAACTCCGAAGCCAAGTGCTGGAGATGCCTAAAAGCGAAAGGGGACACATTACATATCTGGTGGACTTGTCCACTCATACGTCCAGTATGGGAAGCAGTAGAAGAAATAGTTACAAACAGCACAGGGGTATCGATCCAACCCAGCATAGAATTATATCTATTACACCTATCACCACAAAATATCACGAAACCCGCTCGAAAACTAGTCTACCTTATCACGATAGCGGCAAAGACATTAATAGCAAGACAATGGAAATCGTCAGTGATTCCCACAAAAACAGAAATAATAGCCCTAACATCCACCAACGTCTCATATGAAAAACATGCGGGGTCACTAGGGCAAGAGGACCGCACAACCACAGAGGCTTACAATATGTGGCTCAATTATGAGCAAGCAATCCACATAACACGCAGACACGCAACACATGACCCTCCGTAACAAACTAAACAAATAAAAGGTACAGACAAGGAATCAAACTCAAAAATGTATACATTTAGCAATGCGGAGAAATAGACACTGACGGGAAAGGCACCAGACCCAAATGACATGCCTAGACCAAACCCAACGCAACAGAGCATCAGTCATACAGAAAAACTTGTATAGGTGGAACAAGTTCCATGTATATAGTTCATATTAACGTTTATATTGTTTATATTGTACTTCATGTAATCTACGTACTTCCACAACTGACACGGCACCCCCAGCACCACTCAGGGACTGGAATATGATGATAGCACAATGCAGACAAGCGTGATATGTACCACCATGGGTATACAAATTTGTCGCGAAAACCGCATACATATCATTAGAACGTACTGTGAAGCCATGTTAACTGAAGTTACGTAATCCCCTACCCCTCCCTTATTCCTTTCTGTACCCCGCACACCTATCCCCTTGTTTATGTCTAAGCATCACAAAGGTAAAATGGTTAACTATATAGAAAGAGAGTGGAGGAGGGGAAGAAAAAAAAAAAAAAGCCACTTTTGCCAACACAGGGAACAGAACAAAGAACTGGCCTGTCGCGACAAAGTGGGCAAATTCGAATATAGTTACATTTTCGCTAGAAAGTATGAACAGGATGGCAAACATTGAAACCGTAAAGTAGGAAATGTGCAAATGTGTTTCATCCCCCCACCCCTCTTTCCTTCTGTACCCCAAGTTTGAACTTGAACTTGAAAAATAAAAATTGTCAAATTGAAAAAAGACACTTGCAACTCTCAGGCCTTGCTCGCAAGGTCCTAAGGGACATTTTTTTTCCAGTTCAGCTATTTTCCCTAAATTTTGTAATTTAGTTCAAATTTATTCAAATTTTGTCTTCAGTAAATAAACCGCAAACTGACAGAGTGCCAAACAGAAAGAAAACATAGCCAGGGCCTTGTCTGCTAGCTAAAGATCCAATTTTGCTATTTTACCAAAACCAATTGTAACGGATCGCCTGGCACCACGACTTTGTACCTCCGTTAAAGGATGCTCCTAGCGCTTCCTGAGGACTCCAAGCACTGCAGCAGACACCACAACCACCGAACCGGAGAAGCATAAACAGCAGTACCTCCCACCCACAATAAATGTTTACTCCACCTGGATAAAGTAGCAGCCTGTCCAGGTCCAGGTTCCTCACCACGGCTGTGCGGGGAGCTGGTAGACCTCCTTGGTGGGTTGCTGAGTGGGCAGAGACCAGCGGTACTCTGCCCTGGTGCCAGCGCTACCACTGAAGTAGCCTGGTTGGAGCCTGGTTGTGGGAGGGGGAGACCGACCGTCTCCCCTCTGGGTACACAGCTCTGGGGCTGGGGGACAGGACTGACCGTCCCTACCCCTTGTGCTGCAAGTGCAAAGACTACGGTCCCATCTGCACTGTTGGGGAGTGTAACATCTCCCCTTGGTGGGTTAGGCTGCCGCTGGAGAGAGGGTGTATCAAGCTCCTCTCTCTGAACTGTAACCTGCCACTGGGGAGAGGGGGTAGCAGGCTCCTCTCCCTGACATTCTCTCTGCTGGTGGTGACGGGGACCAGCTGTCTCCCCTTTCAATATTTTGTCCTGCTGCTGGGGTGCGAGACTGATGGTCTCTGCTCCCTGCAGGACACTCTGCCGCTGGGGAGGAAGGACGGCACCTTCAGCTCCCTGGGGTACACACTGCCGCTGGGGAGGAAGGACTGCACCTTCAGCTCCCTGGGGTACACACTGTCGCTGGGAAGGAAGGACTGCACCTTCAGCTCCCTGGGGTACACACTGCCGCTGGGGAGGAAGGACTGCACCTTCAGCTCCCTGGGATACACACTGCCGCTGGG